AGCCAAGTAATTGGTGGGGAAGGGTGTTGTGTTTAAAAAGATGGTCAACATTAAAAGCAGGCAAAAAAAAAAAAAAAAAATGTGTAAACCAAATCCTGATAACAGCCAGCGGTTCCTGTATGGGCTGAGAGAAATTGAGTTAAGCTTTCTGGTTTGCAGATACAGGTGGTGAGACAGATGGGAGCAGGTTTGGGCCCCAGGCAAAAGGATGCTCTAAGACTGGAGATGGTGCGGGGGGGGGATGGAAATCGACAAAAGGGTAAGGTGGCGAGGCAGGAGTTCAGAGTTGCTAGCTCACAGAAAAATTAAAAACCAACAGGAAAACCCGAAAGGAGACAAGGGGAGGAAACAAAGTGAGAGATGACGGGGCGGAATAATGAAAGTGAATGTGGAGGCAAGAGGCTGGAAAAAGTACCTGAGCACGTTTCAGGAAAAGCATTCTGACATCCGAGTATGCACTTTACACCCTTCTGGGCCCAGCATGGAGTTGCCCTTTACCCTCTTACCAAGAACCTATCCATCTGTCTTAAATACACCCAGTGACCTAGTCTCCCAGCCCTCTGCAGCAATGAGCTCCAGAGTCACCACCCTCTGGCTGAAGAAATTCCTCCTCATTTCAGCTCTAAAGGGTCGTCCCTTCATCCTAAGGCTGTGCCCCCGAGCCCTAGCCTCTCCCACTAGTGGAAACATCTTCTCCATGTCCACCCTATCCAGCCCTCTCAGTATTCTGTAAACTTCAATGAGATTCACTCTCATCCTTGCAAACTCCATCGAGTACAGACCCAGAGTCCTCAACCACTCCTCATATGAGGAGCCCTTCATCCTTGGGATCATTCTTGTAAACCATTCTGGGGCCCAAAACTGCTCACAATATTCCAAATGCAGTCTGACCAGAGCCTTATACAGCCTCAGTGGTATGTCTCTGCTCCTGTACTCTAACCCTCTCAAAAAGAATGCTAACATTGTTTGCCTTCCTAATTACCAATTGAACCTGCATATTAACCTTAAGAGAATCTTGAACTAGGGCTCCCAAGTCCCCTGTTCTCCAGGACTTCCAAAGCCTTTCCCCAACTGGAAAAACAGTCCATGTCTCGATTCTTCCTACCTAAGTACATAACGTCTCACTTTCCGACATTGTATTCCATCTGCCCACCCCACTCTCCTAGCCTGTCCATGTCCTTCTGCATTTCCTCACATTCGATTCCAGGTCAGAGGATTTACTATGTGGTTATTAGGGGAGCTATAGAATAAAGGAGCTGAATATTATTCGAATGGAGAAGGCCTGCTGGAAGTAACAGAACAGAGGGATTTGGGAGTTTTTGACCATGAATCACAAAAAGCTGGAATGCAGGGAATAGGGACGGCAAATGGAACACTGGTCTTTATTTCAAATGGAATGGAGAATAAAACTCGGGAGGTTTTGCTAAAACTATACAAGGCAGTAGTCAGACCACTGCTGGCATACTGTGGGCAGTTTTGGGCCCCGAGATATACTGGTGTTGGAGGCAGTCCAGAGAAGGTTCACTGGGCTGATCATAGGGATGGAGGGACTGTCTGATGAGGAGAGGTTGATTAGGTTGGGCCTGTACTGATTGGAGTTTAGAAAAATGAGAGGCGACCTTATTGAAACATAGAAGATTCTTGGAGGATTGACAGGGTAGATGTGGAGAGGTTGTTTCCCCTTGTGGGAGAGTCTAGGACCAGAGGGGCATCATCTCAGAGTAAGGGGTCGCCCAGTGAAGACAGACATGAGGAGCAATTTCTTGTCTCCAAGGGGAATGAATCTGTAGAATTCTTTACCACAGCGTGCTATCGGGGCTGGGTCATTCAGTATATTCAAGGCTGAGAGAGACAGGAAGGGAATCAAAGGGTTATGGGGAAAAGGCAGGAAAGTGAAGTTGGAACATTCTAAAGTGGCTAATGTGTGGATATGCGGAGACTGGATGAACACTATGGGACAAGGGGAGATCTGCTGCAGGCATGGAGGGAAAAGAAAAAGGCACAACTGAATTCTAATTATGGAGACAAATAGCTCAGAGGCAAAAAAAACACCAAAGAACTGCGAATGCTGTAATTCAGGAACAAAAACAAAGTTGCTGGAAAATTTCAGCAGGTCTGGCAGCACCGGTGAAGGAAAAAAAAGAGTTAACGTTTCAGGTCCGGTGATCCTTCCTCAGAGCCGTTCCGAGGAAGGGTTACCGGATCCAAAATGTTAACTCTTTTTAGCTCAGAGGCAACACAATTATTAATTATGATTAGTCTTGCTTCAGCCAGCTGATGAATTGAGTAACTGACTTCACACCAAGTATACATGGAAATGAAAGGGTTAGATGGAAAACAAAATAAAACACGAAATGTTTTGGTTGCATACACCATTTGGAATTTGCATTAACCACAAGCACACCAAACAATGCAGCTCCTATCAGTGTTATGATCCCAACTGATTGTGACAGTAATAAGTCAGGCTTCAGGGTGATGCCTGGCTTGATGGACCACAAGTTTTACATTTTTATTGATTGGGAAAATCGGTCATCGCGAATATGTTCCGAGAAAAACAAAAATTTCGCAACACTAAGAAAAGCACAAATTATAGAACATGAGACGAGATACGTGACAAGTCAGAAAGATTCATTCCTTTTATCCCAGTGATACCCTTCGAGTCACTGAAACCTGGGTGCTGAGCTCTCTCTCCAACCATGCCAAAGAAACACTGGATCAACTGGGCTTGTACTCAGTGGAATTTAGAAGAATGGCGGGGGGGGGGGGGGGGGGGGGGGGGGGGGGTGTGGGGAAAGAGAAGAGTGCGAGAAGGCTGGAAAGATATAAAATCCTGATGGGACTGAACAGGCCGGATGCAAGAAGCATGTTCCTGATGTTGGGGGAAGTCCAGAACCAGGGGGTCACAGTCTAAGTATAAGTGGTAGGCCATTCAGGACTGAGAGGAGGAAGAATTTCTTCACTCAGTTGTGAACCTGTGGAACTCTCTCCCACAGGAAGCTGTTGGGGCCAGTTCATTACATCCACTCAAGCAGGAGCTGGACGTGACCCTTGTGGCTAAAGGGATCAAGGGGTATGGGGAGAGGGCGAGAATGGGATACTGAGATTGCATGGTCAGCCATGATCACACTGAACGGTGGTGCAGGCATAAAGGGCTGAATGGCCTACTCCTGTGCCTATTTTCTATGTTTCTACGAAGCTTCTCGATCGACTGGCACAGCTGTCCTAACATTTCCTGCAGTAGATTGCTTTGCTTTCACAAGCTGCTATTTTCTTCGGTTACTGTGTCCCCCGGAGACCTTTACAATAAACTGCTAACTCAGCTCACTGGGACTTGGCACATGTTCCCAAAACTCAAGTCCCCAACGTCGTCATTCTGAAACCTCCTCACAGCCTGCTGCTTCCGCAACTTTCACTCAGGTTTAAGCATCGCTAGACTTCTTCCCCCACACCCACTACTGTGTGGAGCCAAAGCAGTACCTCCGCTGTGTGGGCCTACTCCCCCATTGGAGCTGGTGGTCATGGAGGGAAGAACATTACCAAATGTGAAAAACCGGCACAAACATGAACTCAGAAGGGCAGCGACCATTTGCAACACTGGTTTTTAAGCTCACCGCTCAGTACCACCGTTTCTTATATCAAGAATGCAATAAACCTCACTACTAGTCAGACAAATGGACTGACTGTTAACAGGTAAAAAAAATCGAAGGTGATGAGAACGAGGAGCAAGAGTAGGCAACTCAGCCCCTCGAGCCTGTTCCATGTTCAATTTGGTCATGGCTGATCTCATCTCGGCCTCAACTCCACTTTCCTGCCCACGCTCCATATCCCTTCAACCCGTTACTAATTAAACAAAAAAACTCTATCACCTCCTTTAAAATTTACTCTGTCTCAGCATCCACCACACTCCACAGGTTCACAACCCTTTGAGAGAAGTAATTTTGAAAGTAATTCTTTTCTGCCACTCCTTAGCCTAAAACTAAGGCTTCTCATTCTCAATTGCCCCACAAGGGGAGACATCCCCTCTACATCTGCTCCGTCAATTCCCTTTCCCATCTTATGTGCCTCAATCAGATCTCCTCTCATTCTTTTAAACTCCAGAGAGACAAAGAGGAGATAAAAACCCTCCATCTACAAAGCAGTCAGGGTATTCAGCCCATCTCGATTCTCCCATATATTGGATTAGTACACAGCGGGCTTAGTCCAATGATATTAGCACTGCACCAGCACATTACAACAGCCAGTGTACTTCAGGAGCACTCACACTGGCTGTAAAACACTCTGGGACATCCTGAGGAACTGAACACAACCGACTGAAATGAAGGTTCACTTACCAATAGGAAGCATGGGCTGGTTCTCACAGTACACTCGAGGGCAGTAGCCAAAGTCTCCCTGCTGGTATTTCTCAAGCTGAAAGAAAGCACACCGATCCAATGAAGACCAGCCAAATTCACAGTCAGAAGCTGCTGAGAACATGGGGAGGGTCAATGACACATTTCCAAAAATGGAGACTTTGGTTTCTGTTTGCGAATCGGTGTGTGTTTGGTGGGTGGTGGGGAGCTAAGGGATATGGGGTCAAGGCAGTAAAGACACAGGACAACCTCTTCCTGCCCTTGGGTGCTGTTGTCTTTTGTCTGATCGAAGGCATGAAAATGACATCTACAATCGGAGGGGGGCAAGGAGTAGATGTTTAACCAATGATCATCCGGCCCATGGTCAAAGCTTTCATCCAGGACTGGTCAATAGTGCCCAGTTTGCTGTCCAGTTCGATTATAAGCCAGCCTTAACTGGCACACAGGCAGAAAAGATTAATGGTTGAGATACTAGGTGCTGGTGTTAATGGGGTAAATCCACTGTGTACTAACTGCTCACCAAACGGTGGATGTGTATGTTAGCCACAGTCACCTGTTTCACTCTGCTCCCCATGTGTGCAGTAAGAGACATCAGCTCAAATCCCCCTGAACAGAAGGGCCATCCTCTGACTTTGATTTTATATAAAGTTTGGGATTTGTGGTGGACCAAAAAGAACATGCCGTACCAGGGAAGGGTGGAAGTTGAGGACCCTCATTTGGAGCAGGAACATGCATCACATGCCTGTCAATTGGGTGACCTGTACTAAGTTGTAAATTCTACTACGACAACCCACAGAGATATTAACTTGTTGATTGTTGTCCGGTACAGGTTACATGTTTATTCTGGATGTGCGAGTAGATTTGCTCTGGGCTTTTCCAAATCAATCTGCCCAGGGATGTTACGAGACACCACTGGAACAGGTGGGGCTTGAAGCTGAGCCGCTGAGCCGCAGAGCCCAGAGGCAGGACACTACCATTGGGCCACAGAGGTCCTCAAATTGTCTCTTTCCACCTTTACCTACAGATTAACCTCCATACCTCCCAGTTAACGTATTAAGCGGTTGAGCTTAAAATAAAAATAGGCAATGTTTTAATTCAAAAATTCACTCATGGGATGTGCATACTGCTGACTGGGCCCAGCATTTGTTACCCCGTCCCTACTTGCCCCCCCTTGAGAAGGTGGGGGTGAGCGGCTTCCTTGACCCGCTGCAGTCCATGTGATGTGGGTTGACCCACAATGTCCCTTAGGGAGGGAATTCCAGGATTGTGACCCAGTCCCATCCAGCACGGTGGTACTGCCACACAACACAATGATTCGAGCGTGTGCTGAGCCTTGCTGGTGCTTCACAGTTTCTGGCTCTCAGCCCAATTGACTGGGTAAAATCAGTCCCAGGATTTGGTCCTCTCTGTGCATGGACTAATCAGAAGTAAGACTGCATGCCTGGAAGGTCCTGCGTTGATGGAACCCTCACCCCCTCCCCAATGGTGCCTTCAACTGCCTGTTCCCCAAACTCGAATTCCCTCCCAGTTTCCCCAGAGCCCCCTCATCCTAACTCTAAGCTATCTACCAGCTTGAAGCAGCTGTGTGGGTGAACGAATAGGTTCGGTGCTCAGTGAACATGTTACTCGGCAACGGTATGTTTCCTTTTCTGTCCAGGGGTGCGACACAAACTCACAAGTGGCTGTTTGCAAGTGCTTTGATGACAGAATGGCACAAGCATCACTGGAATGAATCATGTCTGATTCAGGAGGCAAATCACGTTACAGGTTGGAGCATGTTACACTAACCCTACCCTTCAGGGGTGGGTGGGTGTGAGAAAGAGAGAGAGAAAGAAAGAGAGAGAGAAAGAGAGAGAGAAAGAGAGAGAGAAAGAGAGAGAGAAAGAGAGAGAGAAAGAGAGAGAGAAAGAGAGAGAGAAAGAGAGAGAGAAAGAGAGAGAGAAAGAGAGAGAGAAAGAGAGAGACCGACCAAGGTACAGAGGGACAGGAAGGGGTTCATGAGGCCATGTTTATGAGCTTCCATGCCTGATCCAGGCTGACCTGGAACTCACCCCAAAATGTTTCCAAGGTACATCGCTCGTGTGCTCCCTAAGTTATCACTGTACACCTGAACATTGCTGACTGTTGGGCGTTTCCCTTTGTTTTATAATATGGCGAGAGAGGGTGAGGGTGAAGAAAGGGTCGCAATTTAACAACAGCCTGGAGAATCCCCAAGTCATAAAGGAGACTGAGAATATATTGTTTTAAAAAGGAGAAAACAGACAGGGACAGAGTTAGACAGCAGACCAGGGTGCGTCGCTGAAAAGGTGACTGATGTTTTGGGAGGGTGCAGTTTCCAGATACAAAACAAACAGGAACCTGTCCTGCCACTTGACAACACGGTGCCTTGTGGTTGTACGTTGCCTAGCAACCTTCCTGGTTGCTGTTGTCAGCCAGGAGAATTCACTGTATCCAAGAGAGCTGAGAGAACGGGGAAAGCACCTTTATCCCCGGTTCACCTTAACCCTGCTCAGCTCAGACAAGGAGAGGCAAGCTCCCCAGTGTCGAGTCGCAGTGTATGCATACAAATTTGTAAACTTTGCTCCGGGGGCTTGCAAACAGGGTGTAGGCCCACCGTAGGGAATGACTCATCCTGCTGCTGTGGGACAGGGGAATTTGATGGCAGATCACATCTGGATTACAGTTCTACCTGACAGAAAAGGAGACAGACTTGTCTTGTTCCCCAGGGCAAAGGGTCACCAAATTAGTGCCCGAGATGGTTGGGCGGGTTCCTGTGATCAGCGATCGAGTAAACTGGGCTGACGTTCACTGGATAACACTGCGTGGAGCTGGAGGAACACAGCAGGCCAGGTAGCACGAGAGGAGCAGGAAAGCTGACGTTTCGGGTCAGGACCCTTCTTCAGAAAAGTTCACTGGAGTTTGGATGACTGACAGGCAATCTCACTGAAACAGACAAGATTCTGGAGGGGATCCGACAGGGTACAAAGATCGCGGGCAGCATACAGAAAAGCAGATGATCGACCGTGATAGTACCGACTGGGGAGCAGGCAGAACCGTCTCTCCCCACTTTTAGGAACAGTGTTGTACAAAGAACAGAGTCATACAGCACAGAAACAGACCCTTCGGCCCGACTCGTCCATGCTGACAACGTTTCCTGAACTGAACTAGTCCCACATCCCTCTAAAACTTTCCTATTCACATACACGTCTAAATGTCATTTCAACATTGTAACCGTACCCGCCTCCACCACTTCCTCTGGCAGTTCTTTCTACGTACGCACCACCCTCTGCGTGAATACCCTGTCACCTTCTAAGGGATACAAAGGGAGATCACTTTTTTTTTTAAATTTACTCACAGGGCGTGGGCATCACTGGCCAGGCCCAGCATTTCTTGCCCGTCCCTAGTTGCCCTTGAGAACAAAGTACAGTACAGCACAGGGACAGGCCCTTCGACCTGGGATGCTGTGCCGAACACCACACCAAATGAATTTAATCCCTTCTGCCCGCCCTTGGTCCATATCCCTCCATTCCTTGCACATTCATGTGCCTGTCTAAAAGTAGCTTAAAACACCCCTACTGTATCTGCCCCCACCACCAGCCCCTGGCAGTGTGTTCCAGACTCCTACTACTCTTGGGTATAAAAAGAAAAAATAAAAAAAGCTTGCCCCTCGCAACTTTCCCCCTTCCACCTTCAATGCTTGCCCTCTTGTTTTAGACATTTCGACTCTGGAGGGGAAAGAGATTTTGACCGTCAACCCTATCTCTGCCTCTCAATTTTATAAACGTCTATCGCGTCTTCCCTCAGCCTCTGCCGCTCCAGAGAAAATGAGTGGAGATTTTTTTCTAGCCTGTCCTTAGGGCTGTTGATTTAAATTTAAAAGCAAACTAACAGTTTGATCAGATGTGACAACACCAGTAGCTGGACTCAGTGACAAAGCAGGTAGTAAGTACAGCTGCCTCTTATAGAAGGTACCTCAGTAGGAACTTCTCTCAACCCTCCTTCTATCCTTGACCCACCCAATGAAGTCATTCTGGCTGGGTCACAGTTTGCCAATCCACCTCTCAACATTTCAGCACAGTAAAGCTTCCAGCAACTCCCACACACCAAACAAAAAAACTCAAAGGATTGCAGGTGCTGGAAAACAAATGGCTGGAAAAGCCACAGTGGGTCTGGCAGCACCTGCGGAGATAAATTGGAGTTAACAACAGCCCTCCTGCAGTACACGCTGAACCAGTTCGGGAAAAAAAAGTGTTTTTTCTCCAGGGAATTTCAGCTCGTTTCAAACACACTGGAGCTTGGCCGGTCGAGGACATTATGACAAGGCACCAGCTCGCAGCGTGCTTATGCCACCTTCTGCCAAGGGGGCAGCACTACAGGGAGACTGGGGAATTCTCTGTAGGTTTCTTACCCAATTCAGAAACAAGGTCTGTATGCAACGTAGGCAACAGGACCCCCACCCTGGGCCATCCCATCCAAAACATTAACCCATTCTTCTGTCTGATGTTGCGGGTTTCTGAGTTTTACAAGTTCCTCATGCCCCCAGCTTTAAGACTTTTCTTTCTTTCGCCTTTCAGTTAAAACAATCTCTCCCCCGGCACCCGCAGGAAAAACTGGGGGAAAACGCCCACCTACCATCTGAGCAATCCCTCGGTTGGTGAGGATATAGCGAGCGTGGATCAGTCCATACAGCATCTCGGCAGCCTGCTCGATAAGGTCGCTTTGGTTTGGATTGTCTTCCAGCTCCTCATCTGGTTAACACAAGGATCGACAGAAACATCATCAAGGCAGGTTACAGTCAGGAGTGCATGCAGCACCTCTGCAAGGTGCACAGCACTCCACCAGCTTCAGCAAAAGTGGTACAGGGCAGACAAGAGGTCACCTGAATTGATACAAACAATTACCTCAAAATTCCTCGAGGGAATCCACTTTTCAAAGGGCGTGTGTGCGTGGAACAGACAAACAGCGATCAGGAAAGACACGGCAGCGTGCGGCTCTCTCTGCCTCAGTGGAGGCAAAGCAGGCTCTGATCGACGGACTTTAAAAAGGACGGGCACAATTTGGCAGGCCAGGTGGGGCGCCGAAAACATAAGACAGTTGCTGAGAAACCGGTTAGGGAATTCTACAGGAGGCTGCCCAGTAAGGAGCAAAGTGGAATGTTAGGGTGAAATTGGAAGGGTCATTCCTGAGGCTGATGCTGCACTCCCAGGCCTTAGGAAGGGCTGTTGTGGTGCAGTGTCCTTACCTCCAAGCCAGGAGGCACCATCCCCGAGCAGGTGGATTCGGAAATCTCTGTGCTCCCGGGCTGACAGAGTGAACCAGCCACGCGAGGTTCTAACGGCACCAGCGCTCTGTTTCGCTGCAAACGGGTATGGCCAGGAGCAGACCCACCAGGAGGCCACGTCCTTCCCTACCACCCAAAGGACAAATGGCCAAAGGAACCAGAAAAAAGTGCTTCTTGAAAGCAGCTGCACAGCAAACATTAAAATAGGTAAACTCAGGAATAAAAGCAAGGTGTCGCTCCGAATGCACCACATCAGCAGTTGTAGAAGGAATAAAACTCAGCAGCAGACACCACACGCTCCCTCTCACACGGACACTGATTTAACAATACACAAGGAACAGGAGTAGGCCATTCAGCCCCTCCACCCTGTTCCACCATCCAGTGAGATCATGGTTGACCTGTGGCCTAACTCCACAGGTCCATGGCCAAACAGCCACTGCGGCTGGCCCAGGAGCGGACTCTCCTCCTACACGCTCAGTTAATCATTCAGACAATGTCATTCTCCTGGAATGTACTCAACCTCAACATTGGACAGCACAGACCTGGCAAAGTCAGATAAAACAGAGGGGAGAAGGAAATCGAAGGTTATGGTCAGAGTGAGGGGAGGCAAATGTGGGAAACATTAACGTGGGAATTGTTGAGCTGAATGGCCTGTTGCAATGCTGTAAAAATCTATGAAACGAAAGGGAGACCCCCAACAGAACAATCAAGATTCTGTCCTTTTGAATTTCGGATGTGTTGGGAAATGATGCTCAGGACTGCACACGAGGCTGAAATGAATTGGTTAGTCACTGATTCGATCAAGAGTCACTCTCACAGACAGTGCATTGAATGTTAAAGTGCAGCGTTTGGTGGCTGAAACAATAAAGTGAGTTGAGGAGAAAGGGGTTATCCACAAATACGCAACGTTCTCTCAATGCTAGGTAGATTTGTAGCTCCAGTCAACTCAGAACTCAAAAACAAAAACAAAGGTTACAAATGCTTGTTACTTTCCTCACAGAGTGCAGGACTTCATACTGGTTGTGTTTCTCAGAAGGTTCTTTATCGAGGGCAGCACCAGTTTGTGGAACACAGGCACAAATCACAAAGTTCTGAGGAAGGGTCACCAGAACCGAAACGTCAACCCTGATTTCTCTTCACAGATGCCGCCCGACCTGCTGAGCTTTTCCAGCAACTTCTGTTTTTGTTCCTGATTTACAGTATCTGCAGTTTTTTTGGTTTCTACAAATCAAAGGATTTTTTGTTTTTTAAAAAAATTACTCTCATGGGACATGGCCAACATTGGCTGGGCCCAGCATTTATTGTCCCGTCCCTAGTTGCCCCCCTTGAGTAGGTGGGGGTGAGCTGCCTTCTTGAACCGCTGCAGTCCATGTGCTGTGGGTTGACCCACAATGCCCCTTAGGGAGGGAATTCCAGGATTCTGACCCAGTGACACGGAGGGAATGGCGATATATTTCCAAGTCAGGACGGGGAGTGACTCGGAGGGGGAACTTGCAGGGGGTGGTGTTCCCATGTATCTGCTGCCCCTTGACCTTCTAGATGGAAGTAGTTCGTGGGTTTGGAAGGTGCTGCCTGAGGATCTTTGGTGAATCTCTGCAGTGCATCTTGTAGATGGTACACACTGCTGTTACTGAGCGTCGGTGGGGGAGGGAGTGGGATGTTTGTGGATGTGGTGCCAGTCAAGCGGGGGCTGCTTTGTCCTGGATGGTGTCGAGCTTCTTGAGTGTTGTTGGGGCTGCCCCCATCCAGGGGCAAGTGGGGGGTATTCCCTCACATTCCTGCTTCGTGCCTTGTCAATGGTGGGATACTCACCGCAGGATTCCCAGCCTCTGAGCTACTCTTGCAGCTCCACGTATATGGCTGGACCAGTTCAATATCTGATCAAAAGTAAGTAGCAGGGTGTTGGATCAAGGAGAAAAAAAGTGTCAGTCTCACTTGCAATTGCCTTCACAGCAGAAACGAGTTATCCAGCCTCAGTTCTGAGCACAAGATCTACACAGATTCCTGTACAGTCCTCAGAACAAACTGCACTGTCAAGGGCGTGGGTTGGGATGCTAAGATTGAGGCTACGCCTTCCCCTCAGACACAAGTGAACATTTAGAGAACACCTTTAAAAATGGCCTTCAGTTCTGGTTAATATTTGCTCCTGAAACATGATGAGAAACTGACTATCTGGAACTAATCATCTTGCTGCTTTTGTGGGAGCTCACTGCCTGTTAACTGGTTGCTACATTTCCTACTGTTCAGGAAAGTGCTTCACATTCTGACGGTTCACACAACGAGGGAACACAACCAACATTACTGGCAGCACTCACTGACGGGACAGAGAGCAGGTATCCTGCACTGAACAAGTTACACAGAGCAAGCACTGAACATTACTCACAGGAGGCTATTCATCCCATCAAATCTGCTCCACCTTTCAACAGCACATCCCACAGTCGTCAATTCCACTTTCCTGCCTTTCTCCACCACCACCCGCGCCCATACCCCTTCATTTCCTTATCGATTAAACATCTCTCTCTCTCGCAGCCTCGAATATACTGAATGAGCCAGCCTCAACAGCCCTCTTTGGTAAAGAATTCCACAGATTCATTCCCGAGACCTCGTCTGTCTTCAGTGGGTGACTCCTCATTCCACGATGATGCCCCTCTGCTCCTGGGCTCTCCCACACAAGGGGAAAACAATCTCACCACATCTGTCACATCTACTCCCCTAAGAATCCTGTCCGTCTCCTCTCTTTCTTCTAAACTCCAATGAATACAGGGCCAACCTGCTCAACCTCTCCTCCCAAGACATTCCCGGGATCAGCCAAGTGAACCTTCTCCGGACTGCCACCAGGACCAGCACATCACTCCTTAGGGGATACTGTTCACAGTATTCCGGGTTTCGCCTGATTGATTCCCGATTGCTTAAGCAAAACCTCCCTCCCTGCTTTTATACTCCATTCCCTTTGAAATAAAGGCCAACTTTCCATTTACCTTCCCCAACCCCAACCCCAACCCCCATTACCTGTTGACCTTAGATATCAGTTTCTTTCGATTCACAGCCTTGAAATATGGTTCGACTTAGCAGAGAGCAGTTAGCTCAGATGTCAGCAGGACACACAATAGGAACCAAACCGTGTGGAAAAGGCTAGCTGGCCCGTCAACGAGATACAACGGGACACCAGGGCTCGGAGCTAGGACTGAGCAATTGTAACCTGCGGAGTTCACAAACACGGCACAGCTTTTCACTTTTGAAACTGGTGCTGAAAGCTGTGCTGTGTCCAGACGGGGCGAGGTCCTTGATGTAGGCTGCACAAAGCCAAAAGGAAATTTGGTCAGAAAGTTTTATTCCAGCTTCAAGTGGGCACAGTTCCACAGCACACAGGAGAGCTTGGCTCTGCCCAAGCTGATGATCGATCTCAGGCAGGGACACAGCAGCACGTTTGGATTCCGTAAATGGAAATACAATACACTGTAGTACTCAATACTGGGCAACGTTCAGAGCCCAGGAACAGTGCAGTGATTTGCACTACCTTCTGGTGTAATTGTTTGGTACGATTTGCCTGCGTAGCATGCAAAACAATACAATTCACTGTACCTCGGTACATGTGACAACAATAAGCCAAAAAAGAGACTGTGAATATTCCGTGTGTGTGGCATACAGTCCAAATTTATGGAAGGGGCCCACCCAAAACATAACAGAACCAAATTTCTGCTTCTTTTCAACGTAAACTATTGGGTTTGACAAACCTTTCACTTGCTGGTCAAGTGCATGTGTAGGCCATTCAGCCCCCTTAAGCCTGTTCTGCCATTCAGTGAGATCATGGCTGATCTGTGGCCTCATAAATCTGCCCCTGGCCCATATCCCTGAATCCGTTTGCCTAACAAAAACATATCCACTGCCATTTGTGGAAGAGAGTTCCAAACCTCTGCCACCCTTTGTGTATCAAAGTGCTTCCTAACATCTCTTCCTGATCGCTCTGACCCTCCCTCGCAGACTACTCCCTAGTTCTAGAATCCCCAGACAGTGGGAATAGCATATCTACCCTGTCTTTTCCTGTTAATATACTTAATGCTTCAATCAGATCATCCCTTAACCTTCTCAATTCTAGAGAAAACAGGTCTTATTTGTATAATCTCTCCTCATAACTTAACCCCTGCAGTCCAGGTATCGTGCTTGTAAACGTACACTGTACTCCCTCCAAGGCCACTCTATCCTTCGTGGTGCCCACATCTGCTCACAGTACTCCAATTGGGATCAAACCAGAGTTTTGTATAAATGCAGCAGAACGCCTATATCCTTGTACTCCAGTGCTCTGGATATAAACCTTTAACCTTGGTGGTAAAAGTGTGCGACTCCTTCCCCCAGCACTTCTGCAAGAAGTGAATGGTGACTTCACCCCAACACTATCCAGACCGGGAAGGAATTTCAGTGCTGCTTCGGAGATTGGGGCGGGGCACAGATTCTCACTGATGCCCCGTCCCCCCCCACCTCCCCACCCCCCGCTCTAACAGCTGGACTTGCAGCAGCACACAGCTGCTGAGGGACAGTCAGCCCTAACACCCACCAGCTCCAACCCGGGGAAACGTTAGAACATACCGGGCTCAAGGTCCAGAATCATATCCAACGCTTGGCGGTAATGGGGCACCTGCTCATTCAGGCCGGTCAGATTGAACTTGTCCTGAATATAATCTTCATCAACCTAGGTTAGACAAACAAACAGAGGGGGTAAACAGAACAGGGAGTGGAAGGTCAGTCATTCACAACAACCAAACAAATAACCCAAGGCCAACCCGACAGTGTGGAAGCAGGCCATTCGGCCCTTTGAGTCAACACCGAACCTGCAAGGAACATCCCACCCAGAACTACACCCCCGGCCCTATCCCTTGATCCCGACATTTCCCATGGCCAATCCACCTAACCTGCATATTCCTGGACACTATGGGGCAATTTATCACAGCCAGTTCACCCACCCTGCACATCTTTGGACTGTGGGATGAAACTCACGCAGACACGGGGAGAACGTGCAAGCTCCCCACAGGCAGTCACCAGAGGGTGAAATCGAACCAGGGTCCCCGGTGCTGAGAGACAGCAGGGCTAACCACTGAGCCACCCTAATCTACCCGCAAGACAAGAGGAAAAGACACCCTCTAAGTTGGTACGGGGATGGAGGAGTGACACAACAGCCTGTTGCAGGGCAAAGCATAAACTACTGCAGTCACCCCTGACTTAGCCCCCACCCCGTCACAGTGATTGATAATACTGCATTAGGGAGTATAAGATGGGGTCTGACCATTCAGCTTCGTCAAGTTCAAACACAACTCCATCCACTCACCCACCTACCTTGGTTCACTCACCTTTAATGACGTCTGTCTTGTTTAAAAAAAAAAAGACACACACACACACACACACACGACCATCAATCTTGGTTCTGACATACCCAATTCTTTCCCGATGTCAATAGGTTGATTTTGGAGGAAAGAGGTGCCTGGATTCCACAGTTCAAAATAAAAATAAACAGCAAGTGCTGGAAAAACTCAAATTCAATGTTTCCATTCACATTGCTGTTTCATTTGCTGATCAAGGTGAGACAGAGCCTGGGTGCAAAAATAGAATCCAAGTGGGCGACACGACCTGAAGCTGTTGGAACAGATTTCCACGTCCTTGGCTTGAAGGGGAGTTTTCAGATGTGATCTTCACTTTAATCATAGAATCCCTACGGTGTGGTAGCTGGCTATTCGGCCCATCAAGTCCACACCGAATCCCTGAAGACCATTCCACCCAGACCTGCCTCCCTACCTTATCCTTGGGCACTACAGGACAATTTAGCATGGCCAATCCACCCTAACCTGCACATCCCTGGGCACTACGGGACAATTTCCCATGGCCAATCCACCCTAACGTGCAAACTTTAGACTGTGGGAGGAAACGCACACAGACACGGGGAGAATGTGCAAACTCCACGCAGACAGATCATTATAGGGTCTGTTTCTGTGCTGACCTGGTTTCCCAAACTATCACAAACCACGGAGAGACTAGAGAGGCCAAGGTTATTTGTCTTTGAGCACACCGCCCAAGGGTGGAATCGAACCCGGGTCCCTGGCGCCATGAGGCAGCAGTGCTAACCACTGAGCCACCACGCTGCCCTGGTCTCTCAACCCTCGGTATATGGTCGTAGCTGCTCATTTAGCTGCAGTCACAAGTTCAGAGCTAGGGCAGGGGAAACAGGGAGTCGACTGCACGCCACAACACCATCGTGATTAAAAAGTCCACCTTATCTCCCCATCCCCACCTACTCCCCCCCAGAAATCAAACTCCCATGTTCCACCAATAGGTGAATAAACGCCAAAAAAACCCCTGGGTTAGAAAATACTACATTCAGAACTTTCTCCTCACTTCAGCTCCGAATGATTCAGCCTTCACAGTAAGTCTGTGTCCTGCCACGTTTTAGATTCCCCAAAAGATACTGGGATAGTAGGGATGGCACTGGGCTAGTAATCCCACCAGACTTTAACGCTCTGGGACACGGGTTCAAATACCACCTTAGGAGCTGGTGGAATTCAAATTCAATTAATAAATATTGGATTGAAAGCTACGGCGATGGTGGCCTTGACAACAGTCAATTATTGCAGAAACCCAGTAGGCCCAGGTTCAAGTCGCACCTGCCCTATAGCTGTGTCCATGTGCAAACAGGTTGGTGAAAATAAGGGTTTTATACATCATTGGCAGGATGGCTTCTATTCTCATGAGAAAGGTCAAAAAGGGTGATCTAATAAAAAGGTCCTTAAAGTTCTAAAAGATTGAAATAGAATGAATAAAAAGAGCGCTTCCCTGCTGTGGGTCAGATATAACCATAGACCATAAAATATGTGATAGACACCAAGATATCCAATAGGGCATAGAGAATAAATGTCATCCCACAGCCAGTGATAGAACGTGGACCTCGCTAGCAGACAGCATGACTGAAGTGAATAATACAGATAGATTAAAGAGAAATTAGGCAATTGGAATGCGGAGAAGGGACCGGAGGTCAGGATGATGGATTTAGACAGAAGATAGGATGAGGTCGAGGGACAGCATCAACACCCAGACAGAAGTGTCGGGCTGAATGGCTTGTTTCTATGCCTGTATGCCCTCAAGCATGCATCACCAACATGTCCTGTACCTGATGTCAGGGACACAGAGGGACAGACATAGAATGCCCACTGCACCCAGACGGATCCAGAGCTTAAGGGTACCACAACCCTGGATATGACGCCCAGCCTATTTCAGGACAAACAGATTGGTTTCAAATCCAAATCAGGTGCGGTAAACAAAACCCACTACCTCGCAGGTACGCTCATGCCAGGACAAAAATTCAAAGTGACCTGGGCACCTTTGACAAAAGGTGCAACACAGGAGGCTGCTAAAATCAGCTAAATAGTATTAGGGGCAAGGTACTGGCACGGATAGAGGATTGGCTGACTGGCAGAAGGCAGAGAGTGAAGGTAAAGGGGCCTTTTTCAGGATGGCAGCCAGCGGCTACTGGAACTCCACGGGGTCTGTGTTGGGACCATAACTATTCACATTATACTGGGTGAAGGAACTGAGGACATTGTGTCACCTGCAAACTTGGCAGCAGAGATAGGTGATGGGGCAGGTAGTCTTCAGGAAGTAGGAAGGGTGCAAATAGACTTGGACATGCTAGGAGAGCGGCAAAGAAATGGCAGATGGAATACAAAGTGGGAAAATGTGAACTTATACACTTTGGTAGGAAAAAGAGAGATGTAGACTATTTACTAAATGGGGAAGGCTTCAGAAATCTAAAGCACAAAGGGATTTGAGAGTCCTAGCTCAATATTCTCTTAAGGTTAACATGTAGGTTCAGTTGACAGTTCGAAAGGCAAACACGATGCCAGCATTCATTTTGAAAGGGCTAGAAAACAAGAGCAGAAGTGTACTGCTGAGGCTGTATATGGCTCAAGCTACACCATATTTGGAATATAGAGGGCAGTTTTGGGCCCCGTATCTAAGGAAGGATGTGCTGGCCTTGTAAGGGGTCCAGAGGAGGTTTACAAGCACAATCCCGGTGATGAAGGGATTGTCATGTGAGGAGTGGTTGAAGACTGGGTCTGTATTTGGTACTCCCCGAAGCCTATAGAATACTGCGAGGCCTGGATAGAATGGAAATGGAGGAACATTAACTCTGCTTTCTCTCTACAGATACAGCCAGACCTGCTGAGCTTCTCCAGCAACTTCTGCTTTCCATTCCAGAATCCCAGGTTCTTGGTTTTATTTTCTTGTAGGTTAATGAACACTGCTGCCTGTAGCTGTCTGGAGAACAGCTACATGAATGGAGCTCTGCCTATTCTTAGCCCTGCTACATTACCCATAGTGCCCAGGGATGTGCAGGTTAGGGTGGATTGGCCATGGGAAACTGTCCTATATTGCCCAGGGATATGCAGGTTAGGGTGGATTGGCCACAGGAAACTGTCCCATAGTGCCCAGGCTAGTTCGGTTAGCCATGGGAAATGCAAGGTTACCGGGATAGGGTAGGTGGCTGGGTCTGGGCGGGAAGATCTTTACAGGGTCAGTGCGGACCAGATGGGCTGAATGGCTTGCTTTCGCACGGTGTACATTTCTGAGCTCAGCTACGTTGCTGGAGCACCGGGATAATGGTCACTTGGTGGGGCAGAACTGGAGGTGGTTTGTTGGAACAAGAAAGAAATAGATTGAGAAAGCATGCCATGTTGCACACTTCAGGACAAATGCAAGAGTGCCAAATTGTAAAGGGAATAACAATTTACACTGCCTGCTCAGGATGCACTCCACTCACACTTACTGATGCTCCGTCTGTTTCTCTAAACTCATTCACAGGATGTTGGCATTGCTGGCTAGGCTGGCATTTATAGCTCAGCCCTAATGGCTCAGAGGGCAGTAAAGATCAACCACACTGGTGTGGGTCTGGAGTCACGTATAGGCCATGTTGGGTAAAGGCAGCAGTTTCCTTTCCTGAAGGACAAGTAAAATATATGGGTTCCCCCCACCACCCCACCCCGCCAAGTTTCATCTTCATCGTTAGGCTCTCTATTCAAATTCCACCATGTCATGGACAGATTCAAATCCAGGTCCTCAGACCATGACCTTGGGTCTCTGGATTAACAGTCTAGTGATAACACTATGAGACATCGCTTGCCCCTGGAAAGGAGAACGAATTTAACCAGGTAGTGGCCCACTGCAACACCTTGACCAGAGTCAGAGTCAATCTGCCAGCCAATCAAGACCTTTCTGCCCCTCTTTGAAAACTGATATTCTTGCACCTGTCCCGCTGACTCGAGACAAAAAGCTTCTGCAACAACAGCTCTTGCCTCTTTCTCATCTTTTCAGAAAGAACGAGTGACATGGCAGAGCAAGGCCGCGTTGTGCTTAGAGCTCCCCACTGACTCGGTGGTGTAAGTGAACGTGTAAGGTCCAGTGGACTGAGCCCAGGAGCAAGTAGAACAAGCTCAGTATGTGCGAGGAGGAGGCTGCACTTGCTTGGCCCCGAGATACCGGGTTTACTGCACGGAACTGACAGACCCGGGCCACGCTCAGAAACTGACCTCACAGAAGAACTCATTGCCTCGCAGTCCACAGAACCAGGAGATCCACGACACTTCCTCCGAGCTGCTCATCTTCGTATCCTCTGAAAGGGGGAGGAAGAGAGAGGGAGACAGGGAATGAGCAAGTGATCAGGAAAACCGAGCTCGCTATGGCACCCCGATTACAGCTGGTCCCTAACTCCTCGACTTCACACCAGGGCCTGCAGTTTCCACTCAAGCTCAGCACTAGCCCTCAAACTGCATCCCTCTTCCTCCTCGGGTCTCAAGGCGTCACCCTGCACATGGAATCGGTATGTCCGATCCCCACTCCCATCCTCTCGCAGCCAGTCACACACTCTCCCAGTCTCTCTCTCTCTTTCTCTGTGTGTAGAAATCCAGCAGTCTGCTCAGGCTGATCCTTACTGCTCCCCCTCTGGGGAGTACTGCAGGTACAGTGGTACAGTACAGCACCTCCCCAGCACACAGCAGCTGATCTAGGCCAGCTAGCGGTCCGAGTGGAACACTTATCCACAGCCAGCGGCAGAAACCACTCCGCTGCGTTCTTTTGGGATTTCCAGAGTAACTAAGCACCAACACACCACCACACTGCCTTAACCCACCAGTGGAAGATGTATCCAGGAATTCAGAGCACGAGCCTGAGCTCAGACTGGGAAACCTGAGGAGCTACAGCCACACTGAGTAGATACACACAGCTTCAGAGGGCTGAAAACAGGGAAGGTACTGGGTCGTCATTTCCATCTGTGGAGAATCCAGACGTTGAGTTAGAGCCTCGGGGAGAAAGGATTGATCATTTAGGCCCAAGGTGGAGATGTTTTTCACGTCAATTGTGACGAACTGTTGGAAAAGGTTGTGGGCACTCGACGGTCACATTCAAGCTCAAGGCTGATAGCTCTTTGGGCACAAGGAGACAGGGGGAGGACAGTAGATCGGCCAGAAGCCTACAGGAATGGGGCAGCGGGCTCAGCAGCTGTACGGTCTGTTCCTGATCCCCTTTTTGTTTTAAAGTGGTCCGGTCCAGGAGGGGTGAAACAGAACCATCTCCACTTACCCGACCGGCAGACTGAGACACAAGGAAGCTGCCAGAGTTGAGAAAGACTGCAACCCGTCGCAATCACAACCAAGGAAAAGCCAATTACTGAACAGAAACCTTTGAAAGGCCACGTTTTAAAACAGCGACAGATAGTTGCAGGCCAGGGAGCAAAGGCCACCTGCACAGGATTGCGGCGATAGGTTATCCCACGAATGGGTGTGGCAGCAATCCAGATTGTTTGACAAATACTACAAACAGCCTGACACGTCACTATCGGCGTGTCACAGCCAGCTGGTCTATTCCTTCAGGAACACCGGCTCTAAACTACCTCAGAAACTAAAAAGACAATTCCGAGCAGGCATCCAAAAGACTTGCAACAGGTTAGGACAAATCTGCAACAATTCTTCGCGATGCGCCTTGATGGTAAAGAGGGGAAATCCACGACATTTATGACAGAAAATGGGAAGCACTTCTTTGTACAGAGGGTGATCAAACAGGACTCCAGTCTAAGGGGTCTTAGGAAATACTGGGAGACTTTCGCTACTTGGTCAAAAAGGCAGCAGGAAGGCAGAATCCAAGACAGAAGGTGGCCACTCAGCCCCTTGAACCTGTACTACCACTCCATTAGATTATGACCGGAGTGTGTCGGAACTGCATTCAAGTTAACACTGCTCTAGGAACACTGGTTGAAATGCTCCTCACATGCCACTCAGTTCACCAACACGGAGGTGCTGTACAACTCAATGACCCTTGACATCAAGGCTGCATTCGACAGGGTGCAGCGAAGAGCAGCCCGAGCTGCATTAGAGGGGAAAGGCTCTTGCTGCAGTTGGGAGTTTGATCCTACACAACGGTAGACAGTTGGGGGATTACTGAAGCTCACTTAACCTAGCTCCAGCACATCAATGTAGCAGTTTATCAGGGCAGATGTTTTTACTCGACCTGTTCAGCAGTGTAACAACACACTGCTGGAGCAGGTTGGACCTGAACCCAGACCTCTTGGGTTCAGAAGAAGGGACACTACCACTGCACCACAACAGTGCTTCCTCAGGCCCAGCCATCTATAGCTGTTGGATCAATAACCTTCCCCACCCACCTCCAGGGTCAGGAGTGGAAACGTTTGTCAGTGATTGCACAGTATTCAGTGATATTTGTTACTCCACAGATACTGAAGCAGTCATTGTTGGTACACAGCAAGGGACAACATCCAGGCCATGACGGTTTCCAAGAGACAATCTAACCACCACCCTTTTGACATTCAATGGTGTTACCATCACTGAATGTCCCACTATCGACATCCTTGGGGTTATCATTGACCAGAAACTGAATGAGCCAAAACACAGCGGCTCCAAGAGCAGGTCAGAGGCTGGGAATCCTGCGGTGAGTAACTCCTGACTCCCCAAAGCCTGTCCCACCATCTACAAGGCACAAGGCAGGAGTGTGAGGGAATGCCCCCCACTTGCCCCTGGATGGGGGCAGCCCCAACAACACTCAAGAAGCTCGACACCATCCAGGACAAAGCAGCCCCCGCTTGATTGGCACCACATCCACAAACATCTCACTCCCTCCACCACCTTCTGTATACATGGCAGAAATTCACCAAGGCTCCTTAGACAACATCTTCCATAATGTCAACCACCACCAAGTAAGAGGGCAGGGGCAATAGATACATGGGAACACCACCCCCCTGCAAGTTCCCCTCCAAGCCACTCACCATCCTGACTTGGGAATATATCGCCGTTCCTTCAGTGCCGCTGGGTCACAATCCTGGAATTCCCTCCCTAACGGTAACCTGAGGGACAGCGGGGCTGGGGGAGGGGGTACCTACACCCCGAGAACAGCAGCTTACCACCTTGGGATCAGGGATGGGCAATGAATGCTGGGCCCACCCTGGCAGCAAATTAAAACCAAGCATGCTGCAAAGCACTTTGGGGAAATCCTGAAGTTCTCCTCTTTTAAATTTCAGACCCACCACCAATGTTTCTTTATTTCACAGATTCACCAGGAATTTCAGTCAAATCACAACACAACATCTCATGAGATTGCGATCGGATGAGAGCGTGCTCTTGGGCGATACCAGGAACTACGCGAAGGAGGCGATCTCCTCACTGAGGCGAAATTAAATGAGATCTGGTTCAAATCATTAGTATTTATTGCTGACATTTCTTATTCAATTCTTCCAGATGTGAAGTCAGATTGTGGGGTGGGGGGGGGGGGGCAGTGTTGAGGAATACATGAAGCACACCAAGCAGCAGCTGCAGAATCAGACTGCATGAAAACCTGTGCGATTAAAAGCAGGGAACTGCATGATTTCAAGACTCCCAATAGCTCCCATGCGTCCGTCACTCCATCCTTACCACAGTGACTGAACTCACCACCACACATCCTCTTTCAGCAAAAAGGAAAACGCTCGCAAAATTACTGCCCAAATGTCGTCACCAACATCCCTCTGAGCAGCTGACAGCAACTTTGCCTACTGTGGAAGGGGGAGGGAAGATGGACAAGTCAGTTTTTGCTCTGTGCCTCAGAAACACCCCCTCTACACAACCAACTCCCCCCCTACCCTTCGTGTGCCACTTATAGTCCCCAGGACAGAAACACCAACAGCACCTTATGCCTTAACCAAACCAAAAAGCAACAGCAAAACTCAAACCGCAGAAAACCACTCAGCGACCAGACACTAGAGGCCACATCTTTGCAATTAATAAACCAAAAAGTCCAGGGAGGGAATTAAAAATTCTCCCATCGTTTGAGTTGCAACGACCTGGAAATGTGCAATGTGAAAAAGACAGTGGATTTTTGAAAACGTATTCGTGAACAGGAGCTGGCATACTGCCGAGTAGCTGGACTCTCCTCAGAAGCAGAGAGCTACACTGACAGGTCATCTGCTCGAAGGCAGAGAGAGTGATGTGGGTAGACTGCTGTACAAAATATCAAATCCCAAACTACTGGGCCTCTCACCAGCTATTTACAGGAGCAAGTCTGACTTTTGGGCTATGGTGTGCTAATGGCTCTCAGAGATGAAGACAGTGGATATGGAGATGATCTCAGCTCACTTACATAGAGGGCAGATGATGACCAAGGCTACTGTTTCCCACCCAAACCCCTGCTGGTAGGTATCTACAAGTGCCTCAGGCAAGGGACAGAAAGACTTGGACATTCTGCAGTTTTAATTTAATTCACTCTTGGGATGAGGGCATCGCTGGCTGGGCCCAGCATTTATTGCCCCGTCCCTAGTTGCCCCCCTTGAGAAGGTGGGGGTGAGCTGCCTCCTTGAACCACTGCAGTCCATGTGCTGTGGGTTGACCCACAATGTTCCTTAGGGAGGGAATTCCAGGATTTTGACCCAGCGACACTGGAGGAACGGCGATATATTTCCAAGTCAGGGTGGTGAGTGGTTAGGAGCAGGGGCTGGTGTTTCCATGTATCTGCTGCCCCCTGTCCTTCTAGATGGAAGTGGGTCGTGGGTTTGGAAGGTGCTGCTTGAGGATCTTTGGTGAGTATCTGCAGTGCATCTTGTAGATGGTACACACTGCTGCGACTGAGCGCCGGTGGGGGAGGGAGTGGATGCTGAAGATGCTGGAAAAGTGGATTGATTGTTTTGGAGGCTATCGAGCTTCTTGTTGCTGGACAAACAGTTGATTCCATCACATTCCTGACTTTGTACCTTGTAGTAGGACAGGCTTTGGGGAGTCACTCACTGCAGGATTCCCAGCCTCTGATGTGCACCATGGTAGATTGAGAAATTGGTTACGTGATAAAAGGTACCCTGAGCTTTATAAACAGCAGCATAGGGTACATGAGAAAGTCATAAAGAAATTTTACAAAAAGCATTGGCTTAGCCTTGTCTGAGGCTATGTGTCAGGTTCTGGGCGGGGAGGACGGGATGGCTTTGAAGTAAAGGCTGCAGAAAGGCTGCATGCAGAGATATGGAGCTTTAGTCACGTGGATTGTGGGAAAGACTGTAGTTTTCTTCCTGAAGAGAAAAGGTCCAAGTGTTTGGGGACCTCTTAGAAAGGGGGAAACCATTTCTATTGTCTGAAGGGTAGGAGA